AAAATTATTTGCCTTGTCCAAATAATCTGGTTGCCAGATGTGCTATAAAATTCACATGTGAGGCCAGGCACAGAGGCTCACACCTGTAATCCTAGCGTTCTGGGAGGCCAAGGCAGGTGGATTGCATGAGCTCACAGGTTCCAGACAAGCCTGAGCCAGAGCAAGACCTCTTCTCTAAAAAAATAGCCAGGTGTTGTGGAGGGCGCCTGTAGTCCCAGCTACTTGGGAAGCTGAGGCAAGAGAATTGCTTAAGCCCAAGAGTTGGAGGTTGCTGTGGGCTGTGACAAGACGGCACTCTACCTAGGGCGACAAAGTGAGACTGTCTCAAAAAAAAAAAAAAATTCACATCTGAGTGATCTTGAACAAAATCTAGTTTCTAAACCAGAATAATTAATGATAAACATGAAAATGTTAGGAAGAGCATCAGTTGTTGCTAACAGATTACCTAGCAATTGTCATCTTCAATTGGATACATTCTATAAACAGCCTTTAATCATAGAGCCACTTTAAGCCATAGTGTTGGGTGATACTTCTTGCGGGGAGAGAAGGATACATGACATAAATCTTACCAAGAGAACTGTACTACTTACGATTAAAAGAAACTTGTAGAAATGGTAGTTTTGCATAACTTTAAGTCAGAGGACTAATTATACGTGACAGAATTCTTGCCTACATAACTGCATTATTTTAGTTTAAAAGACTTTAAGAAATTATACTAACAGCCCAAATCATGTTTAAAGAAGCCAAAAAAGGTAAACTGAGGCGGATAAACTGCTTTTCTGAGAATTTATCTTGAAAAGGAACTAAAATCCACATTCCAGATAACCAAAGTCCGCAAAAAGAACTCCGGTAACGCAAAGGGTCAACGACCCCGAATTACACCGGACAAGCTGAAGACAATTCAGTGCTTCCCTCCCTTCCTGCCACAGAACAAACGAAAGCAGAACAGCCGCAGCACGCCGGCTCTGCCGGTTACCTGCGTGGGGCCCCTCGGAGCAGATTCTGGGACGGCACAGAAACTGCGGGACATTTACTGAATGAACGGGGGGCTGAGGTTGGGGGCGTGCGAGGCGGACCCTACCTTTCACAGACTTGCCAATGCTGTGTAAGTGAGTGATAGAACTGTAGTTTTGGGCAACGGTCTTCAAAAACGCTTCCATCCCTTCCTGGTGGTGGTAGTTGAAATCCAGCGCTGCTGCCACAGGCAGCAGCAGCCCCAGCCAGAGGCACGGGAAGTCCATGTTCTAGAGACGAATAAAAATAATAATAAAGCAGAGAGCAGCCGACGGACGGCGCGCGCTCCCGCCCGGGGTCCTGACTCCGGTGCCCCCCGCTTCCCACGGATGCGGGCGCCGGGAGCCACATTTTCGGGAGCGGGCAGGGCAGGGCAGGCGCGGCCCCCCGACCCCCCGGCCCTCCGCCCGCGGCTCCTCCCGCTCCGCCGCCCGCCGCAGCCTCACCAGGGCCCAGGCGCACACCCCGCCGGCCCGCGCCGCCGGCTGGCCAGACCTTATAGCCCGGCCCCGGAGGCCGGAGCGCCGGGCCCGCCCCGGACCGCCCCCTGGGCAGGGCCTTAGCACCTGGGCGCGCGGCGCGCGGGCTGCGGGACTTGGGGACTTGGGGACTTGGGGACTCGCGGGCGGCGGACAGCTGCAGGGGACGAGCCGCCTCTCCCGGACGGCCCTGCCCGGCGCCCTGGGTTGGAAGCGTGTCCTCGCCTTGGCCATGGCCGTGTCCCGGGCACGCTCTGCCGCCGGCTGCGGCCACTTCAGAGACCTTCGGGGCTCGAGGGGCTTCCCGCGCTGGACGCCCCGGGTCCCCGCCCGCCCGCTCTGCACCCGCATGGGCTCCGCGACAGAAGGACGCGCGCGCGCGGGCGAAAGTTTTAATGCCATCAGCTTGGCGTCCAGGAAATTTTCCGACAAATTTATTTGGTGGGTGGGATCTGACTAAATCAGAGTTGAATTTAAAATTGGAAATCGCCTGGAAGAAGCAGAGCCAGTGTTGTAAACCCCGTGCTTCCTCCGCCGCGTTCCCGAGACCAGCTGGAGCTGTTTTCCTGAAAGGCTGCTTTCTGGAGGATGAGGAGGACTGTGTGCGCGCAAGGGGAGGACCAGGGCGTCCTTAAATTTGAGAGTGGTGTGTGGCGGCTACCCCTCTCTAAAAGACACACAGATACACACTCGCACACACGCACGTATATCCACACACAAACACTCAGACACACACATACATCACACACATGCACATATATACACACAAACACTCCGACACACACATACATCACACACATGCACATATATCCACACAAACACTTCGACAGACACACACACACGCACATATATCCACACACAAACACTCAGACACACACATACATCACACACATGCACATATATCCACACAAACACT